GCCGGTTGAAGAAGTGCTGCCAGCGGAAGAACAAGCGGCACCAACTTTGGAGGTGACGCCCACTCCTCCAACTCCTCCTTCGAGTTTCCTTCCGCGTACTTCGGCTTCTTCACCGTCGACTCAAGCAGGTCAAGCAATTCAGTTAGATACAGAAGAAGAAGGTGGGAGCACCACTACTAGTATGGAGGATCCGGAATACGATGCACGCTCAGGTCATGAGCGTACCGACGAGTCGACGAGTGAAAGCGACGATTTCAACGGGATTGATGAGTTTGATGGAGAGAACTTCATGCATGCGCTACGTGGGGAGAAGCTGTTCGGGTCAGTTGCTGTAGATGATGTGAATCTGTGCGATGAAGCTGAAGATGACAACGACAGTATTTTTATGGGGAAGGAATCGTTTTTGACGGAGTCACGTGCAGAACGGATACGAAAGCAAATTTGTGTATTGCATCTGTTTGCTAAAAGCAAGTCATTTGGGCTATTACCTACGCAGTTTCACTGTTTCCTACTCTTGCTGCTGTCTGTCGTCACCACCAGTTTCCGTTGTCTCGTTCTGATCACAATCAGAATGTTCACCCCCCATCACTTCCCTCATTGCCGAGGCCTGCGGCCTCCTCCTCCTCCTCGTACCTAACCGCCCCCCTCCTCTTCACGACCCTCTTGTCCTTCCGCCCGCTTTTTTAGTGGGGCCCTTAGCTGGATACCGCGGCCGTGGCGCGGCTGTGGGCGCTCGCTTCCATTGCGCCAAAGTTGGTGCCAAATGGAGAAGCAAGTCTGGTTGTTATTGGGGTAATGTCCTTGGCGCACCTTGTCACACAAGTAGACACTGCATTATACGTGTTAGATAGGAGTAGTAAGAAACATAGATCATAGCAACGTACCGTTTTGAGCCTTTACTGCAGCCAGGACAGTAGAATGGCGTCACCTGCCGCTGTGTACTGTTTGTTTTCCGTATAGTACATACCTTGCACTGCCGCTGACGTCGCTTTCGAATTCCATTCATCTCCACCCACTCGTCGTCCATTTTTAGCTGGTGGGTGGACGGTGGAGCGTCGCCATGCAGTGGTGTAACTGGTCTAGGTGAGTACATCTTTGGACACATACAGTAATAGTTAGCAAGGAGAAAAGCAAGCAGAATAAGCACCTTACTTACCGTGTTTGCAAATTCGGCTGACCCCACTTGTAGTAGCTGGGCTTGCAACTGAGCGATGAAACCGGCGTGCGTTAAGGCGGAGGATCGCCTCTCAACTTGCAGGCCTCGCGGTGCCCAATATAGCAGTTGACGATAGCCATGTCAAAAAGGCCCATGGCCAAACTCTTGTAATATTTCCGAAAACGTAGAGAGAGTTGCAGCGAGTAGCGCTGGAGACGAAGTTGGTCGTGGACATCGACCCCGCCCATACACCGATGGTACGTCGTCATGGCGGCGGGGCAAGGCACCGTCTCCTTCTGTCCTAATGTACCTGGAAGGCGCCGCTCTGTTACAATAAAATAAACTAAATGGTTAGAAAATAGTAGCAGTAAAAATAAACTGAATAACTTACCACAAGAGTCCATTGCATAACATATCCACACGCCAGCATGTACACAATGGTATTGTCGAGCCAAACAAGAGCGGAGAGCTTCGGAACTGACTTTGACACCACAATCTGGGCTGTGCCACGAGCGATGTTTTTCGGACGCTTTTTCTTGTCCTGCTTCAGCGATGGCGGAAACCCTTTCTTGTTAGTTTGAATGGTGCCCACAGAATAGACGTTCCTCTCAAGGAGTTGTAGCGAACTTTGTATCGATGTGTAGAGCCGATCGGTTGCCACCGCGTAGAAAACCCCGTCTTTCTTAGTAGGAAGCACAGCATTCATGTTCCGTAACGTTGCTGCTGGGCCAGAGCTATCGTCCGCAGGATCCACTTCATTCTTGTCACCCCTATTCGCTCTGTTCTTCTTTCCACAGTAAAGCTTCAATCTTCACACGCAGTATATCCACCATAATTAGTATTTCACATGCGTGATATCCAGCACGGCGTGAAATTCAACATTTCAAATCCAGAATAATCCGACATGGGTCAGGCCAATACAAGCATAACATCAAGCATGTGAGACTTTGCCATCCAAAAAAAAAAAACGTCTGCATGGAAGCAGACGCTATCGGGAACAGACGTACCTGAGGCAATAAGATGTCTTCGCACAGCACGTCATGAAAAGTTTCGTCCCCCATCGGTGGGGCTTGTCTTTCATGAACTGACGCGTCGGGTTAAATTTGCTCTGCGAAGGCAGCATTGCTTCGTCGAATGACAACCATGGAAGCGTAATAAATCCACTCAGAAACGTCCTCTCCAACGTGTCCATAATTGATCGCACCTTCCAACCCTTGTCTGTCCCTGCAGCCGGCGCTTCGTTGTCCGTAAAGTGGAGAAACCGCATAATTCTATCAAAGCGATCTCGCTTCATGAAGCGTTCAAACGTGCCAATCGGTACCGCGCCAACCGATGTTGTAGCCCAATGATCAGACACTCGCCGTGAGTGCGGGCACAACATACGTGCCAAAAGCAGCCCAATACACTGGAGAATCTCATGAGCTTTAATTTTTTCGTGAATACGTCTCTCGTTCGCCACAATCTCTTCTAGCGTCTTCTTGTTCTCTCCAGTCTGTGCACGAAGCTTAGCCTCCATCCGCTCTGCAAAGTGAAGTTCGTAATACTTGTTCGTCTCCCTTTCCACATGCATCCAAAACTCTCTTGGCAAAAAATAGAGAAATAACTCTAGGGGAGATTCCGCACACTCAAGAACTGAATCAGAAGGCCCGTAGCTACCATCGTACAGCCCAGGAAAGTGTCCATCGTCTTCAAACTTTGATGGATCTACAAACAGCATTATCAAGCATGGGCTAGTAACTGCAATGCATGACATTCACCCTAGCAAAATACATACCAGATTCCCATCCATCCTTTCTCATTTTTTTCAACGCCTCCGTATCGTGTGCCAGATTAGACAAATCAGACCCTTCTACGATGCGCCAATTGTCAATGATGTCTTTCCAGCGTTCGGCCTCGTCCTTACTTCGTGGAGGTCGCTCTCCCCCATGACGGTTTGTTGTAGAAGCTGCGCCGGCTGCAGGTGCAGAACTCGGTGAATCGCCAGTCGGAGGTGCATCTATTGACAGTTCATCACTCGTTTCCGTGTCGCTGTCGCTTGGCATCTCATCATCCATACCATCTCCAAGATTATCCATGTCCTCGTACCATTCTGCGGACCCAGTGTCTGAATCATCGTAATCCGAATCCAATGCATCACCATCATAGATGGCATCATCGTGACGGGAATCTTGACGGGAATAGAGAGGAGGCGGTGTTGTGGGAATAACACTAGCCATATCCAGTGACCTTGCAAAACCAACAATAATATACAGCATGTTGTCAAAATAAATCTCGCACATGCTTGATATCCATCATGTGACAGCGTACCTGGCAGCCGAAGACCGAGGTGGCGTTAGCGGTGAAGTCTGTTGCGCAGAGGAAGCACCTTCCGATGTCGACATGGCTCCACGATTTGCCTGCGTTGTGTCTGTTGCACATGGCGGAGATGGCGACGTTTCGCTATAGTCCAAATCCCCACCAGCAGACGCATCGCTACAAACAATTACAGTCATGAAGTGTGAGATACACATCGTACGCAAAACGCATAATCTCCTCACCTGACGGCTTCGTCACCAGCAGCAACGTGTGGGCTCGTTGTACGCGCAGATTTGTCAGCTCTTGATCTCTTCGATGGTGCGCGCTTACGCTTACCTTTTGCTTTGGCCTTGCCAGGCGCCTTTGCCGGTCTTTTCTTCTTCGCCGCCTTCTTTGGTGTTGTGATCTCTGGCGCTGTCGCCATGTCAAACTCGACGTCGTCATTTCCTTGGTCTTCTCCTGTTTCCACGTAATCTTCGTCTCCGCTGTCACTCCCATCCTCATCAGCAGAAGCAGCATCGGTAGCAAGCTCTTCTGCATGCAATGCTGCAGCTGGTGCCTTCCCTTTCAATCGCGGCGCTCTTGCCAGCAAATTGTAGTACCCCACTAGTGCGCCCTTCTTCTGGTACGTAGCTGGAGCAGGAGGCTTGCGTGAGGCCACTGTCATCCTAGGTCGCCTTCCTGTCGTTGCTGACGTGGGAGCTGAAACAAGCGATTCACCCGCAACGTCGTCACCAAAGTCAGCATCGCGGTCACGCGTACCGTCGACATACGCGCGGTGCTCTTCAAGCAGCCGGGCGCGTTCTGCTCCTTCCTTCCCGTCGAGACGACGCAGGAACGCCTCCGCTTCAGCGCGCGTGACGCGGCGGGGAGGCATCTTGGTCCTGCTTTTCGTTTTGGAGAATGAATGGATGGCTCAGAGGCTTCTCGTTTGAAGCACTGTCTTTACGACAGCGTATCTCCAAGATACTTTCTCTTTACAGTTAGGACCCCAAGCCCTGTGCATTGGGGACTAAACGGACTAAACGCCCATTCTATGACGATCCCCACATGCTTGATTATCAAGCATGTGGAAAATGTCATTATCAAGCCTTAGTGACGGAGGGGTTAATACATCGATGTGAGCTGAGAAAATTAATAATTCAATTATTTGCAAAACTTCGCAAGTCACGATTGTAGCTCAGAAACATTATCATTCTCGAGCCTGGCTGGAGACATTCGCTTCCGTAGATCAGACAGCACCAGCTTAGCGAGAGAGAAGAAGCGCTCACACGCGTTAGACACTGGCGGGATGTACGCGACGTCGACGTAGTGCGCAATTGCGTTTCTTGAACGCCGCTCTCACAATAGAACGCTCTTCGGCGGCTTTTGAAGACGACCGTTCGAGATCAGGCGACCTCAATTCAGCGCAGGCTAATTTTCCCGCGACGTTCAGCGCGCCCCCACGCTGTAACTTGACTAGACCTTACTCAAAATTGGGGTTGTTCCCGTTGTTGACAGCCATAAATTAATAATTAAATTAAAAAATTAGGATTAATTTTTACGCATATTATTTTTCGGGTTCCCTGCTTGCTGGGAATGATGGCAAAGGTGAGAGCTCCAGCAACCCCTGACGACGTCCAAATGTCATGAGTTCTTGTTCGCCTGCACATACCTTTCAGTACTGTGAGTATATATACCGAGCTGTCTGCAGAACGTACCAACGAAGTATTCAACTCCGCGCTTCTCTGCAGCCAAGCGGCCAGTCACACTGGACATCACGTACGTGAAGTCCGCACTCAGTCCTTTAGGCTTCCTCGCTTTCCATCCTGCCTTGGATAGCTCGCGTCATAACAGCTTGAACGGTTTCTCGTTGGGAGCGCTCATTCTCAAATAAATCTGAAATATGTGGTCACCAACAACGGCCGAAAATAGAAAAAAACTGAATTGTCAAAACCTCCAGTCATCTTATACTGTCTTTTTATTCAACTCGAATTATCCCCGGCTATCTTCCCTTCGTAGATCCTTCAAGATCAAACTACCCATCTCTACCCTTTACAAACACAAGCATGCGAGGAATTACGACGATATAAAGTTTGCTGGAAATTATGTCCTGTCATAATTCTTATTCTGTAGAATACAGAATAGCGCCGTAAAAGGGTTACATGTCCGTTTCTTCCTCACTTTGCGGTAATAATACCGCGCCTGTCGTTGTTGTTTCCGTTCTCTCGCCTTCGCAGCACACCAAGCTACTATTCGTAGCCACCTACAACCGTCGATGATAATCTGTAAGCTCACCCGCTTCTGCCACGCTTGCCCTTCGAAGTAGTTCGCTCGGACTTCCCAAACGCCGCCCCATCATGAGCTCATTCGGTGACGACTTCACCGTCGAGTGTTGTCCCGAGTTGTATGCATAGACAGTGCAATCTACCCATATATCCCAATTTTTTTTGCCGTTCATCGTTCATATACATAGCGACGCAGTCTTTCCAGGTTCTATGGAACCTCTCCACTAAGCCAATCAGCCGAGGCCGATAGGGAACAGGGTTGCCTGCCGAATGATAGCCAACTGGGTTAATCGCTTTACCTGTCAGTTCTGGTGCGCCATCGGTAAGTAGCTCTTGAAATGGTCTGAAGCGTAGCACAATATTCCTCATCAAAAACGCTGCTACAATCTCAGCCGTGTGCTGTCGCACTGCTAGTGCGACTGCATATCTGATTACGTACTCCACCGCCGCATAACAAATCGTTGACCACCTTCACTATCTGGCAGCAGTCCAGCTATATCTAGAGCCCATCTGTCTCCGACGTCACCACCGTCCAAGCTCCGTAATGATGGAATCACCTCACGGGGCGTGCTTTTCGGCTTCCGCATTCCTGACACCCCAATACCCATCTTTGCACTTCTCGTTCCCGCCCGGGCCACCAATACACCTGTGCTATACGAGAGTACGTGTGTGGCGCCCGTAGATGTCCCGCCAAGACCACATCACGGCACCCTTTAAATACTACCGACCATAAGGTCGGGGGCAATACAACACGTCTTCCGTTCGGGGTCTGGATGAGTACCAATCCGTGTCTTCGTAGTATACCCATTCCCCTAGCTCTACTTGTCTCCAACAATCGTTGCACTAGTCTACTTTCCGCTTGGGCCTCCACAATCTGGTCACCTGTCAGCTGTAGTGTAGGTTCTCGTCGTTGTGCGGCAATTCCGGTTCTTCGTAGCTCCCGTCGCTGTATTGGCACCGTCGACCCCACTCTCGGTGCCTCCGACCACTCACCGTCATTGCCCAGTATGGGTCTAATACGTCCTTGATCTCCACGTCGGCCTTGAACTTGTCGCACTGGCACTCTTCTCCTCCGCGTCGCACTCGCCGTAGTCGGTGTCTGTTGACTTGCTGCCGTCTCTGTATTGTCCACCAAACTCGTCCGATCCTTCTCAGGCATCGTGTACGCCACCAGCTCACCCACATTCATCTTCCTTTGATCTGCACTGGGCGCTTATTTTCGTCGTGGATTAGTATCTCGTCCCAAATTCACTTCCTTTGGCCTCACTGTTCTTCGCCGAGAGACACTAGTACCGGCATGAGCCCAATGTCAGTCGCTTGGTGCTGCAACCGATCACTCGTCGTAACCCGCTTCTCCACTAAGTCTGATGGGATCTTCATCGCCATGCTTTCGCTCGTTGACCCGTCCATCGTCGCTCGTGACACCGTCTGTAGGTCTTCCTCGTCATCTTCGAGACCACCAGCCGTCTCCATCTCACGTATTGGCTCACTTTCTTCGCCGCCCTCGTTGTTATTCGTTACTGTTACTTCTGTCGCGCCCTGTCCTTGTTCAACTTGCTGTTGGGCTTCTTCAGCACGCCGCCTTGCCGCTCGTGTCCATGGATGCGATGCTGGTGCTGCCGCCACCACTCCCTTACGTCGTAATCTTCTCCGGCATACACGCATCTTCGTCTCTGGATCGCTGCCCTGCTCACGTCCTTTGGAACTGGTACTCGACCTTGGCCTTCCGTTTCCGCCGTTCGTACAGCTGGGAATGCCTATTCCGTCGGAGCTCACTGACGTTCTGAGGCTCGCCGCGTTCTCGGAAGTTTCTGACTTTTTAGAGCCCGCCTCCACGGTTTGCTGATCTGGGTTCCGCCAGTGCGTTCTCCACCGACAATTGCTCGTCACCATCCGCTGGTACAACCAATTTCGCTGCGTGCAGCTGTTTGCTTCCAGCCGCTGCGTCATCTGGATCCTTGACCACGCTGTCTGGTTCTTCTCCCACCTCGTCGTATGCTGTCTGGATCGTAGGACCAGCCGAAGTGTCCATCTCCTCCACCGTCAGCTCACCATTCTCGACCACCTGCGTCCTCGCAGTACCGCACGTACTTCCTGGTGCTGAAGCCGTCTTCGTGGTATTCGCTCTTCGTCGTGGCCTTCGTCATCTTGCCGCCAATACGTTAGACGCCACTGGATCCCGGGAGAGTGCATCTGTAACAACGTTCGTTTTCCCTGGTCGATATTCAACTTCTAAGTCATATTATATATTTAATACTTCCTTTGTATTGAAATAATTGATAGAACCGAAATCAAATTCGTCTAAATTGGTCAAAACAACGTTAAATTTAATGCTAATTGGTCAAAATAGTGCGCTGCGTCTCATCCAACGATTGCAACAAGTCGTAAAGCAGCGACCATTATACTTGGTGAATACCCTCAAGTGAAGATGTCGGACTTGTACAGCGGAATGGAAAGTGAGACGGCAGATTCGCCAACTAGGCAGCAGGGCAGAGTCAGCAGGCACGTGATGCAGTCCAGAGGGTACAGCCGATGACGAACGCCGTCGAATTCTGGATGAACTGCTGAAGCAGAGTGTGGGCGGCGAAATGCCACGAGGAGTCCAAGCCAGAGTTGCCAGAGGATTCAGGTGCTCCGACGCCTCCATTGGGAGGATATGGCATCAGTTTTGTGAGACGGAAGCCAAGGACGGTCTGGGAGAGTGAAAGAGTCGTATTAAGCAGAATGCCGGCCAGAAAAAGAAGAATCGCGACGAAACCGCCAATAAAATCCGGGCTGCTTCTATTGATGAAAGGAAGCCATATCGGCGACTTACTCACGCGACAGGCATCTCTAAGCACTTAGTGCAAGCACTTATATGTGAGGGCGTTTTGAAGGTGCATTCAGCTCGCAGTACACCCTACCTGACGGACAATAACAAGTTTCGTCGTATCGAGCGTGTCCTTACATACATTGACCCTACAAGTTATATGTTCGAGCCGATGTATGACGTAGTCCACGTCGATGAGAAGTGGTTCTATGAGGATGTTAATAAGCGCTCGTGCTTAGTATTTGAAGATGACGAAACCCCGCTCCAGCGTAGCCAACGGAGTAAGAGCCGCATCCCAAAGACCATGTTCCTCGCTGCAGTGGCGCGTTCACGGTAAGCATTTTGCAATTTAATATTTTAAAACATTATATTTACTAAATTCCTAGATATTTTTAATTCAGATGGGACCCACATCGTAAAAAGGAATGGGACGGTAAAGTTGGATTGTGGCCGTTAGCTGAGAAGTATAAAGCGCTTCGTCGAAGCAAATATCGAGCTCGTGGTGAAGAGTGCATTCGTAATATTGATTCTATTAATCAAGAAGTCTACAAGGGTTACTTACTGGATCATGTCATTCCCGCTATCAAGTTGAAGTGGCCCCGCCGAGAAAAAAGAATGTAATTCTGATTCAACAAGATAACTCAACTCCCCACATTAGTCCAAGCGACCCAGATGTTTTAGCTGCGGGGACTGCCAATGGTTAAAATATTCGGCTTTCCTACCAGCCTGCTAATTCACCCGACACAAATGCCGTGGATTTGGGACTGTTCGCCTCTTTACAGGCCCTTCAGCTTCAACAACCTGTCTATGGCATTCAGGTTCGCATAAAGTCCGTAGAGGATGCATACAAGGCCATCGACGCAGATGCGCTTCACGATATTTTTCTTACACTTCAGAAGTGCATGGAATGATTAGTGAAGGTAAGTGGAAGTAATGATTACAAGCTGCCACACATGGGTAAAGCAAAACTTCGAAAAGGAGGTAAACTCCCGAAGCGTTTCGTGTGTGACTGCGATGCTTATAAAAGTGCCCTTGCCATTCTCGAAAAAGGCAGGTAGGCCATTTTTGTTCTAGTGTCACTGTAAAAGTGCCCTCGCCATTCTCGAAAAAGGCAGGTAGGCCATTTTTGTTCTAGTGTCAAGTGTCAATAGATACCTGTCCAAATAGATACTACTCAACACATCATCTTTGTACACAAAATAAAACTACATCATTGTCATATTGCATTCTTTCAATCATTTCCTTCCTACTTTTGTAAAGTCAGCGCCCATCGGTGTAATTTACCAGTTAAGCTCGCGCTAGTCATAAACCACTTGAGTGCAGTGTGGTACGTTACAATGGTAAAGCGTCTGCCATAGCGATAAGGTCTAAATAGTTTTATCGCCCACACGATTGCCAAGCATTCCAGTTTAGTGATGCCGTAGTTTAGTAGTTTGCCTCCGTGATGCTTCTGACCTTACTAGCGTACGCCACTGGCTGCCAACCATCTCCATGATCTTACATAAAGCAATCCCCTAGGCCTACCTTACCCGCGTCCGTAACTAATCGGAAGGGCTGACGAACGTCAGGATATTGTCCACTTCATTGATTTTGCGCGCTCTATTCGCTGTCTAAGTCGTTGTTGCTATTTACATAAATCGCTTTCCATAAAACGACCAACTCGTTTTTTTTTCTTCAGACGAAAAGTTTCATCATCGAGAGCAACTAGAGAATGGAGGCTGCTCTACGCGAGCTTCGCCACGAGTGCGACGCAGAGGTGACTATTGAGATCGGAGAGCCTCTAACAGACTGTAGAGCGGTTCACGGATCGCGACGTGCTATGACTTTTTCGGTTGAAGAAGGGTACGCAGTACTTAAGGAGAAGCTGCGACTCTTGGTGAAGGACGACTCGGCTGTGACTTGGCCAGCAGATGCTGGCGTCTACATTAAAGCCACTGTGAACGCCCGACAAAGTGACTACAAGCGTCTACCCGAGGACGCAGAAGCGTTCTCACAGCTATTGCGGAAGGTGTGGGGTAGAAGAAAGAGTCCAAGCCAGCGGCTAGCTCTGTTCATGTACGTCAACCGGGTCAAAAAATCAAACCCAATCCATCGGGCAACAGCTGTCCGTATGGCCCAGGCCTCTTGCAATATAGCGGAGACCTTGAGAAGTGAAAACCGAAAGACCCCAGGGCCAGCATCGCTCGAGTACTGGGCAACTGTACAAGCGCGGCAACATGACGATGCTCCAGTTGTTCAACCGAACAACGAGACCTTCCGTCAGCTAAACTACATTGACGCTCGCGCTCGACAACACCAGCACGAAGTTGCGGCGGCGACAAGCGCAGCAAATGCGGAGACTCGTCGTATCCATATCATGATTAACGGCGTGCTAGTACCTATCGACCTAAACATCCAAGAGGTTCGGGCAGTTTTGGGTTTACCAGGATATGATCTCCGGCCGCCGTTTCGCGAACGAGCAGTACGTACCGTTGCCGTACCCGAAGACGCAGTTGATTTAGATCATGCTGACGTAGAAGATGACAGAGCGGACGACTTCGACGAAGACATAGAAGAAGACGGAGTAGACGATGATGGAAGGCAAGCTGTAGTATAACTTATCTAGTACTATCTGCTCTATCGTCAAATACATACCTAACTAAATCGATTGAATATCCGCATTTTCGATACAAATTTTTACCTATAGAATCGTTAGAACGAGTGCAATCTCGTAAAGCAACCTCTAATACGGCCTCGGGGTTAGTTTGGAATGCCATGTTGGCGTGGTTGATGATCCACCGCTTGAGTAGAGAGAATGACACCTCTATAGGATTTAATTGTGGGCAATACGGAAATAGAAAGAAGAGTAAAGCACCCGTTGAGTGTACTAATTCCTCCAGTTCACGATACATGTGTATCTTTGCGTTATCAAGAACTACAATGCTTCTAGGAAGAGGCCACCGATTTAACAATGGTGCAATCTTTTCACTAAAAGCCTTGTGGAACTCTCTGCGCGAGAACGTCCCCCTCGTCATTTCCCAAGCAAAAAACCCTGTTGTATTTATTGCAGCCAGCACGGAGACACGCTCACCCCGTCTAAACGGCAGGTCCACCACGGCAGGGGTACCTCTCGGCGACCACGCGTACCGACGCATACAGTCACGACCGGCTTTCGCTGTCTCGTCCAAGAAGACGAGCTGCTCTGGTCCATTGTAAAATGGAAGTAGCTTATTGTAGTACACCGCAACTTCCGCCGGAGCTGCCTCCCTTGCCCGTTTGCTGAGCACCTTGCGCGTGAGGTGCAGGTCGAAGCGGAGGGCTCTACAAATAGTAGCTTCGGATGTATTTCTCAGTGTAGGGAAGCGAGCTCTCAGTGCTGACCGCAGCTCGTCGATGTAGAAACACGGGTGAGACTGAGCATATTCACGAGCAAATTGGCACACGTTTTGCGGCCATCTTGACGTGCGTTGCTTCCGACCCTTTCCTTCGACAGTACCTCGATTGAGCAACCACCCATACCACCTCTCTATGGACCTTTTCGATACACCGAGAATGCTTGCAACATGCGTGATATCAACGTCGTAAACATGTATCAATGATACCGCCCGCCAACGAAGATCACTTGACTTGGTCATGCTTGTCAGAGCCTTGAGCAGTTGATATCAGAGACTTTAATGAGTTTAGACAGCGAATGGCGGTTCGAATGTCCGCCATTCGTTATTATCTGAGCCCAACTCGTCCTCAAAGTCGTCAACCCCCTTAAATATGTTACTCGTCAAGTGACTAAATCGCTGTTCCAACTTTGATAAGTCGTTGAGATAAGCAAGGTCTCCGCCAAAATGCATGAAACGTACAATAGATCAACAGAGGTTTCGTCGTCAATACAGCTTTAATGTATTCGAGCGCTGTTTCCTGCGCTTCTGTCCACCCCCATTATGTGTTCTTGCGTATTAACTTCGTCATCGGTGCCATCAGCGAGCCAATCCATCCAGGAACCTGCGGTAATACTCTGCTAAGTGTACGAAATGTTTCACCGCTACTGCGCCATCGGGTCGGAAAAAATCACGCACTGCAGCCACCAACCTCTCTAACGGCCTCACTCCATCCGAACTAAGATGTCGCCCGAGGTACTCCAAAGTCGTCGTAGCAAACACGCACTTCTTGAGCTACAGTGTAAGTCCAGCGGCTGCCAACCGCTCCAGCACGCACGCCAACCCCAGTACATGCCGCTCTATGTCTCCTCTAGTGTAGATCACGACATCATATAAATACACCAGGCACGTACTCCATGTTAAGCCTCGTGGAACGCTGTTCATCATCCTCTGAAATGTTGCTGGAGCGTTAGTTAATCTGAATGGTCTTCTGGCAAAGACCTTCTTAGTCATGAACGCAGTCTTCGCTTTATCATCCACCGCCATTCTTACCTGCCAGTAACCTACCTTTAGATCCAGCGTACTGAACAGTAACGTACCGCTCAGCGCCTCCAACGTTCCATCGATTCTCGGCAACAGGTAAACATCTTTTTTCGTGACGTACGATAATTCACACAGAAACGGACCTCTCCGTCCTTCTTAGGGACAAGTACGATAGGAAAGCCCCATGCTCCGTTACCTTCTTCAGGTACACCCGACACTACCATTTTACCAACGTTCTCATCTACCACTGCGTCTTCGGACTGTGGTTATCGTCGTCTCTTCATCATGATATGGGCCGCATTGCCCGTATCGATGTGGTGCTCAATTACCAGTGCAGTGGCTGGTGGACAGTCACCAACGTTCATGGTTAACCGCCGATATACTTGTAATAGTTTTAGAATTAGTTGCCGGGCACCTTCATCCGTTGTACCGATGTTAACAGCGCTTTCGTCGTAGAGTGGCTCCGTGTCACCACCTATTTCGTTCAACCAGGCCATGATATGCTCGCGCTGCAATAGCCCCTTCATCTCCCATACTTCCAAATCATCGTTTAACGCCACCTACTCTTCGAGTTCTTTCTTGGACGGTAGTCTCACTTCCTCGCCCTTCGCGCTTATCGCCGGTACCCACGCACGACCATTGCGTACCGTTGTCACCGTTGCCACCAGCATGATCGCGCCCGTGCTCTTCGTAGGCAAAATGCCTCCACGTTCTCCGTCCTTGGCCACCACTGATATCTCCACGGGCGTCACGGCGCTAGCCTCCAGTGCCGACTTCCTCGCCAATCTCACCACTGCTTTCCGTGCGTTTCCAGAGTCCACATCAGTTCGAAATGGTATCACAACTGGGCGCTCGTCGACTCGATACCGCATTGTGTTTTGATGAAAGTCCATCGTCGCTCCTTTCGCTTGCATGAAGTCAACTCCCAGAAGGAACTCATCCGTGCATCCTTCGATGATGCAAGCGTTCACCTGTATAACTTTGTTGAATACACTGCGTAAATCGAACAGCCAAACACCCACAACATCCAGCATCCAGCAGAAACCCGCTGATTCCTTCTACATAATCAACAGGGGCATCACCGTCGACGCGTTCACCGTACTGCATCCACTCCGTTCCAGCTATGGGGTAGCGCATACAACTGGCCAGTTTCACGCACTTCCTTCCGCCATCCACCTCCATCGTTGCGGTAGGTTAGCCCATCGTTCGCTCCAATATATTCGAATTCATTCTCTGTGTTGGCGTGCTGGTCCGTTGCTCCACTACACTGATTTTTAAAAGGCTCACCTTTGCTCTGATTTCCCACCGCGCCTCTCGCCCATCTGAGTCCTCTTATCGTTGTCGTCGCCGCTGTTCAAGTTTCAGCATGGCTGCTTCTGCGTTAGCCTCGCATATTGCTCGCTGCTCGGCATGAGGTCGCTGTCGTTTGTCTGCAGCTGCCCGTACACTTCGCCGATTCGCCAACAGCACCTTTACACGTTGATGCTTGGCCTGTTTCCGTTTCCACCGCCTCTCTAGCGGGGCTCGCTCCACATTGTAGCCTTGCTCGCCGGTACTAGAGTGGGTCTCGTCCGAGCTCACGACCTCGTCATTGCTCGCATCAGTCACAAGTGTTGGCACGGCCATTGCCTCGTCCGCAGCCGCTGTTGTCGCCTGCGCTGAGTCAGCCGCCACGCCTTTCCCACTTGGGCGTCTGACTCCGCCTTCTCCAGTTTAACGCTGAATCTAGATGACCTCGTCGTCATCGTCGTACTCGTTCTTCTCGTACTGGTCTGCCCGCACGAATCGCGCTGTCTCCATCGCCAGGCTAGCTGTTGCTACGTATTTAGCCGCACGTTCCCTGTCACGCGATATACCGCCCTCCTCCATCTGCTCCACCCAATCGTACACCGCTTTGTCACTAGTGTCGCACATGCCAGATTTCACCATTTTAACGCTTTCGTCGTTCTTTGACCCGTCGTCGTCGGGCACCACACTCATCTTGGCGCCACCTATCTTTACACCGCACACCTGCTACTCGTACCACAGCCGTTCGTACTCGTCCGCCGGGATTATTTTGCAGCATCTCGGGGTTCCTCAACTTTCTTCAGGCGCCGTATCCCCACTACCGCGCCCGACACTAGGTTTCCGCCGTCTGTCGTGCGTCTTGACTGCGCTGCTTCAGGTACTCATCGTTACGCACCTTGGCTTCGCTGGTCAGTGCACTCATGTGCGTAGTGATTCCAGGTATTACACACACATAACATTTTGGCTTGGGATGAGTCGGGACACTACCTCTCCCAATGACCGTTTGGCCATATGGGGTCCCTTGATTGCCCATTACCACACGTTGGTGGGTCACTAGCTGGTCGTTATCCGCCGTCAGGCTTCGTACTGGTTCGCCGATTGGTGTACGCCGTGGCCTGTCGGAATGGCCGCTTTGAAGCGCTTCTTCTTGAAATTTATCGCCTCTTCATCATCACTTGAATCGGGTGCTTGCCTGACTTTGACTTTGGTACCCGTTTGCTTCTGTTTGTGGGCACTGCTCGGCTTCGCACTAGCAACCGTTCGCCTTTTCTCCACCTTCCTTGGTTCATACCAGTACTTACCGTTCCACACGTGACCAGGTGGTGGATCCCAGGTGCCTGGGTATGTGTTGTAGACCCCCTGCAGAATGGTGAAGAGAGCGACCGGCTGCATGTCGCTAGTCGCCGATGCACCATTCTCCGCGCTCGTGTGCGCGAAAGCTACCAACCCAGTGTCGCTGATGCCAGGTATGACACCTGTTTGCCCCAAAGTGCCGCCCAAAGGAATTATATACCGGCTGGGTGGCGTTGCCCATGATTGGCCAATATTAACCATACCCTGGGCCACGTTGTCCATGGGGTCATCTATCTCGGTTGCTCTGTCTACTGCTTCCTCCATCCTTGGCTTCGGATCCTGTTTAACCAGCTTCTTCGTGGTCTTATCGAGACACCGATAAAATTGTGCCAGAAGCACCCGTTCGCTGTCTGATTCCTACTCACCACATCTCGCAGTCTGGCGGCAAAGCCAGCATGTGTCTTACCAGGCATCATGCGTCGCATGCTGACTCGCCACTCTGCCGCCGACTTGTCCAACTTTTCGCTATAGCGTCGCAGTAGGACCTTCTTTAAATAAAAAACGTCATGTACGGCAGCGTTCCGACAGCCGTCGATCCATATCCACCCACCATTTGGAAGCG